AAACGCTCATAAAGTGAACATCTTCGGCGGTCAGAAAGACTCCGACGGAAGGCAGCTGACGCGATTCCTTTGGAGGGGGCGGAGTGTGGTGGATTAAAGGTGGATACTATTGCGCCGGGTATAAGTAGTGTGGTGGTGCAAGATGACACACCAACGGCGAGCCCTGCCGACTTCCCCAAAGTTGAAGATGACATCAGGATTACAGTTCCATGCGCACGAGGACTGAACACAGAGGCAAGCACCAGTTGGGGAACACTCCATGGAGATTACGCAGATGAGCGGACGCCTCCAAGGTATGAACGAAAACACCTAGTGTAAGCCACTTTAGCAATAGACGATTACCGCCTGCCCCTTGGGTTCTAACAACTGTCTATGGGCAAGTGCGAACTAAGCAAGATGCAGCTAATACCCTCAGACTTCATTTCACTGCTACTTTTCAATACGCACTGTTTTACCATGCCATTATAACCCAGATCTCGTCACCGCCAGACTTTAACTACATTTTTTGGCCTCCGCGGAGGTGCTGAAGCGATTGCTGTCACTAAGCGAGTACTATTCTCCTGATCCAAATGATATTCGACCCAAATCATTGAAAGTAGCTGCCACGAGCTTTGCTGAATCGCTATCACATTTTTTCCAACACTGTCTCGACGAGATATGGATTTCAATTATATGGAAGAGTGGAAAAATAACCCCCACTTAAAATGGGCTGTAATCGTGTCGTTTCCTCAACCTACCGCCCAACACTTTTCTTCCTGTGCTTGCAAAAATTATGGAACCTGTCATCGCAAAAGCACTCGGGATATTTATTCTCCGGGAGCAGACAACATCCGCCCGAAGGCACTGAAGGCTGTGGCCAACAAGCTAGCTGAACCACTGTCACAGTTCTTCCAAAGGTGCTTTGATGAGCAACAAGTCCCCACTATGTGATAGTGTGGCATTATCACCCCTATTTTTAAAGGCGGTAGCCGTTCAGATCCTGCAAACTATCGTCCAGTAACTCTCCTCCCTGTACTCGCGAAGGTGATGGAAGCAGTCGTCGCTGAGGCTTTAATGGACTACCTGGAAAAATGCAACATCTTGATACCGAAACAGCATGGCTTCCGTCAACACCGGTCATGCACCACCAACCTATCTATTGCACGAGGTAGCTGGACGGAAGTGGTCGATGATGGAGTCGGAGTCGACGTAATCTATCCGGACTTCTCCAAAGCTTTCGACCGCCTTGATCACCGCATCCTACTTCAAAGACTACAAAGTTACGGAATCAGAGATCCTGTACTTGGTTGGATTGGCAGCTTCCTTCACCAACGGAAGCTTCAAGTACGTGTTAGGGGATCACTTTCTAACCCAATTGAGGTGGAATGTGGTGTTCCACAATGATCAGTGTTGGCACCGCGCTTCTTCTTAGTGTCTATCAACGACCCGGCAGCAGTTATCTCCTCAAATTTCCTGCTTTTCGTCGATGACGTCAAGATATGGCAGGCGATTAGTAACAAGCCAGGTCACGATCTGCTCCAACATGACCTAGATTGCATTTATGAATAGTCAAAGAGGTACATGCTTCAATTGAACACAGCTAAGTGCAAAGTGATGCATCTGCGTCACCAGTTGGTGAGCGCTTACAAGATTGGAGACCACACCTTGGAGAGGGTCTCTCAGGAGCCTGACCTGGGTGTATTGGTACAGGAAGATCTCGGGTGTTCCAAACAAGCAGAGAGGGCCACGAGAACCGGCAATCAACACTTCGGCCTTCTTCGCAGAGCCTTCGGTCGGTTTGAACCCTCAATCTTTCCCCAAATGCTTAACGCCTACGTGCGACCTCACGTGGAATATGCGATTCAGGCTTGGCAGCCGTGGCAGAAACAGGATCTTGTTACTCTCGAGGCTCCTCAACGAAGGGCAAACAAAAACGTCAGGGGCCTCTTTCATCTGCCTTATCAGCTTAGACTGAAATCTCTAAGAATGTACAGCAGTCGATATCGGCTTTTGCGGGGGGATCTCATAATGGTTTACCAGATTCTGAAGAACCCAAACCACATTTGCCGCCCACTGCTGGAACTGAACCACAACACTAAACTAAGAGGTCACCCTCTGAAAACTACAATTCAGTATAGCAGGCTTGGATGCTGTAGAAATTGCTTTTCCCTCCGCGTGTGCCAGCCTTGGAACGCCCTCCCTAATTATGTCGTCTTTGCTCCCACTTGGGCGATATTTAAAAAACGTGTTGACGATGCATTGTCTCATTTACATTTCATTTTATGACTTGTTATCCGGGGACTATAGAACGTAATCAAACGGTGTCTTGCCAAACGCCTAATCAATGGATTTATGGATTTATACGTTTAATACGCGAACATCTCTGCTATTCCACATAAGTCTATCGTGAGTCCCCCACAACGCTTTTCACTTTATTATGCAATTGATTTGGCAATAATTTCCATCCTACGGGACTTGTTAAGCAATGCTTTTTTATCTGTTCCATTTGTTCCATTTAGGGGCAGTCTCATAGTGAAGAGGCAGCATGGATTTCCCCATTGCCACTCACGTACCACGAACCTTTCTTTAGCTCTTGCTAGCTTGTTGGAATCTGCAAATATTAAGGGAAGGAGTCGATGCCGCCTGTGTCGATTTATCTGAGGTGTTTGGTCGCTGAGACCACCGCATTTGTCTTCGCAAGCTTAGGTGGTATGGGATTAGTGACCGTGCTTGTTGCTGTATACATTTGTTTCTATTCCAACGCTCTTGAATATGCGAATTCGTGGCTATCTGTCACACGATAAGGTTCACTGCTGCGTCCCACAAGGCGCTATACTTGGACCACGGGTATTCCTAGTGTTCATAAACGTCTTCGCAGGAGTGCTGACGTCGAAATTTCCACTCTTTATGGAAGATTCTAAGGTTTGCTAGCCAAACTAGCGAGTAGACGACCACATAGCAATGCAAGGAGATCTCAAATGTGCTCACAAGTGCTCAGTTCAGAACGTGCATCAGTTTAACCCAGAAAAACGTAAGACGATGAGCTTGCGCCATCAGATCATCTACGTATAACGATTGCAAGAATAGTCTTGTGGCGCACTGCTCCTGCAGGACCATCTCGGATGCCAAAGATAGGTTGAGAAAACAGTGAAAAAGCTAACCACAGTTGAGCCTACTGCGGAGTGTGTTTGGCTAGTTTGATCCCACCTACGTTTCGCAAAAGCTAAATGCTTAAGTGAGACTCCACGTTGAATACGCCAACCACAAGCAGGAACTTTGGAAAAACATGACCTCACTGCTCTCGAGAAGCCACGTCGGAGGGCAACAAAATTTGTTAAGTGATTGTTTTAGCTTTCCTACCAGTTGACACTAAAGCCAATAGATCTTTTCAACGAATAAGATAGTGTTCTGCGATGTGATTTCGTATTTGTATATCAGAACCTTATGGATCCTAACCACCCATACCGACCCTTATTGAAATTCAACCACGATTGCTTGCTGAGAGGCCACCTTGTGAAGTTAGCTACACAGTACAATCGGTTGGAATGTCATCGGAACTTGTTCTTCACCGGTGTATCCCAGCGGTCGAACTCACAATCACATTCGGTCATCTTCGCTCCTACGCTTACGGAATTCAATACTTGATTTGTCCATGTATTACACCACTTGCATTCCTTGAATTTACCCAATTATCTTGGACACGGGACGGAGTAACCACGTGAAATTAACGGTAAGTTCACTGCTACGCGTTTTTCTTGATACATTCATTTTTGATTTCGCTCTTTACCTACGAAAACTGTTGAGCTTATTGCATTTTTATCCGTGATAAATCCATCGTGCGGCACGTATGGTTTGATATACTTGATGAGTCAGTGAAAGAGTAGCACGTCTGCATGATACTACTTCCCCCAGTAGTTGCACAAGAGTACATCTGTTTATCTGAGGTGGACAGTAATCTCACAACTCATGTGCTATTTCTAATCTCATAGTGGGCGGGACCATGAAAGCCACAACCATTAACCTGTATATGTCACATGTGTGTGATCTCGGCGCTCAGTGTGGTGTGTGGTGTATGACTGTACGATATCTGTTCCAAAGTAGCCAGGTGCTCACGAAAATGCAAGCACACTCGTTTTGATGTGCATTACTTGCTCACTTTAGGATGAATTCATATGATTCAACCCTACGGCATCGGTGCGCATGTTGACCGGATGTTGATCAGGTGTAAAGCTAACCCAACCTGCCCTCTCTTCCTTTCCGCTTTTGGTATTCACACTTGATGCGAGTGTGCGGATATTTTGCAATACATTGAGGACTCACATTTAAGCACTGATGTTCCGCAGCTATTAACGACCACGGTATCAGATCCGAAAACAATGATACCACCCTGTATTTACGCGCACAAGAATCAAGAGGTAAAACAGGAGCGTTCTAATGCTGAGATCGGATTATATCCCAGTTGGATGCTTGCTGTGTAAACATAAAGCAAGCCCAATACAACTGAAAGCATTCAACTTTACATAAAACCACTGAGAAGGTTAAAGAACGACCATATATTTCCCTTCTGAGCTCTTCCTCCGCTATCATAGCCCAGTAAGGACCAAAATAGCTACCTTATTTTTAGGGGACAACTTTAATAGTCACCAGCAGATTTTAACAATGCCAACTGTTACCTAGTCTGGTTGTTTACCGACAGTCCACCGAATTTCTGAGCGTGTGTTACCTGTTCGAGGGCATTCAGTCAGGCTGAATTTCGTTCGAACCACCATATCATGACCACCTGGGTTCTGCTACTAGAAAAACCTTTGTAATCGAGTAACATTATAAGGGTTTCTACCATAATACAGTTGGCAAATTTGGAGTCCACCCAATTTGTCATTCACACTGAAGAGCAACACTCTGCTTTGCCATGGATAATTTATGACGTTCTCTAATTTATTACTACATGTATGAGACACCAGCAAGGGCCGACTCGAACGTGATTGAACATCTATACTGGTAGCATAGATCGTCTGCCCGTATCGTCCCCGGCGTTTGATACTAATCAAAAGACATTAGAGCGTACTTCTGATATTTACGTACCAGCTCAGTTTGACCGCGATTTCGCGAAGTGGCCATCCTTCCAGATACTGCCTCCTATGACCTTCGCCATGTCCCGAAACAGCCTCAGATGGATAGACATTCTAAGTAAGTAAAAATCCTAAACAGCACATGGTTTATCTGTAGAGGAATAAAAACGCTGAGAATTTGTAATAAACAGATAGGCTTAGTTGCTTGATGGGGTTTAGTTTGTTGGGGAAAATTTGTGGAAGGGGTGGAGACACAAGCTATGGTCTGTGAAAATTTGAAGGTTATAGTCTGAGTTGGAAATCCATACGTCACCTCACCCGTCCCGTATTACAAAAGAGTGCCAGGAAGATTTAGTTAGTAGTTGAAGTAATCAGAACTACTGGACTCAGTCAGCATATCAGCACGCTTCCAGACACTAGTATACCAAGCCTTCCAAGGAAATCTGCTTATTTGTTTATTTTATTTTATTTTCATTCATGTTAATACCTGGGTTTTCCTTTTCAATAAAGGTACGGAAAGCGCATTTCATGCTCTATCTTGCCAGAGGCTACGGTTACCCTAAGACGGCTACGTACTTATAGGATGCCTAGTTCATCAATAGTTCTAAGTGTTCTTGTTTTATTTCCTCATGCTGCCGTCACAATTCCCCTTTTTCAATCCTCCATCTTTCCATTCTACCCCTAAGGATTAGTTTTAATGCGGAATACACACTTGTCAAAACCTTCACATTCTCACTCGAATTTCGTAAAGTATCCGTGTCGCATAGTGAGACTTCATTTTCGGCCCGAGAAAGGTGACCGGTCAATCACACTTCTAAAAGCCAATGGGCGGCTGTATCCTTTTGCACCTAGACCCGTTTCAACTTGTCTCACTGTCAGGTGAGCCCGAGATCAAGGTTTGATGAGCCGGCAAGATTGTTATATAGAAATCCAGATAAAGAATGGACAAGTACATGATGGTGATGAAACCACTATTCTACTACATAAAAATGGGGACGATTACTTCAACTACAGTACCCAGTTATCTTTTTTATCAGGGAAGACTAATCCATTATAAGTAGCGCTGTTGCACTAAGTACTGGTTGTTACGCAATTCCCAAACGGACAACTTTCAGCGAGTTCACCAAATGAAGCTTTCGGACTGATGCTCTCCAATTCACCACTAAATCTGTTGGTAATTAAACATGGCTGTAGCGCAAGGGAACTACCGTGATTAAGTACACTTTTTACAACAACTAAGCTCAAAGCGAATGGTTTGCAAGCAGAAAATGAGATCACATTAAGCAACGCTCTTCTCAATGATGCTCCTATTTATATGAGACTATGTAATCACATTTCCATGGATCTACATATGACGCCGCTTTTGTCTATGCCCCTCAGCCCAACCACTGACTTTCTTTGGTCCCGGTACTCATTCCGTCTGGCAAGCTTCGAGATGTGGACACTCGTTTAAACTTGATAATGAATCAGTCTAGCGCACACTCTGGACTTCATCAGTATCAATTTCGGCTGCCCTTCTGAAACACTGATTACAAGACCCCAGCACTGTGCCTAATTGGATATCCCCGTAGACTACGTAGCCATATATTAAGCACTTCACCGTGATGACACAGAATCAGCAACAGTGAGTTTATCTGGCAACGATGTAACCTTAATTACAAAGAAAGACTGGTGCTGCTGTAATTACCACTGCTTAACAGCCTACTGTTTGTTATTTGGCTCAAAGTCTAAAGTGGGATCAGCATTTGTTACGAAGATCGATGCAAGTTGTTATTAGTCACCTCAGCCCCAACTGAGAGTGGCTTTGGATCGGCCAAGGATGGATTGTACCGCGGGTTTCAGCGTTATTAAATCAGATTTTCTTGTTGGTGATTTCCATCCGTCTCAGTCGTCTGTGAACGTGTGAACGATGGTAAGATAATCACTACGCGCTCAACGAGAACAACAGAGATAGCGGAAACAGATTTCCATTACTTGGAGTATGTTTAGCTCGGAAGACTTGTTCAGTTGGTGTGGTGTTCGCCGAGCAGGACAATTTGATTGCAAAAGTTTCGCCACCATTCGCGTTGGCATCCTCAGCGCAGAATTGATAGTAGTAGTAGTAGTAATGGTAGTAGTAGTAGTAATGGTAGTAATAGTAGTAGTAATATTAGTAGTAGAAGGCAAAATCAATAGTAGATACTATCAGCCACTACTGCGTTTCTAATATGGGCGTACGGGGCCATCAAATTGGTCTCATTCTGATTGGTCCTTCAATGTGTTCTGTCTCGGTGTTCGAGTCATTACCATTGGCTGTACAAATATTATCGCGACGCGGTTGGCATTTTGCACTCGAATTGGTGCTATGGACGTGGTTGGGCCGTCTGGGCTCATATCGACAGTTCTGTTTATTGTCTAGGTGTTAGTTCGCCTTCTTTCGAGTATGAATTGTTAATGTTCTTGAGTTCCTCTGTCTCAGTGGTTAGCATAATGGATCGATGTCGATGTGCAGGCTGATTAAGTTGGTGGTTGGGAAGCATGGTTCGAGAATCCCCCTCTGTTTGATTTTCTCCCTGGGTCAGGATTTCAACTTTGTTCCATTGGATACTGTGTGCTTCTCCGTACACGTGTTCTGAAACCAGTGAGGTTGCATAATGCTTCTGGAACGCACTTTGTATTCTTATATTTTTGTTGACAGCTTCCTTCCTGTTTGTTACGCACAGTGCCTTTCACAGAAAACGGAACACATCCACACAGAATGAGACGAATTTAATAGCTCCGTACGCTCAAATAAGGAAAGCAGTAGTGGCTGATGGCATCCATCATTGGCTTTACCTTCTACCAGCTTTTGCTACCTGACTGTTATCAATCCTTCTCTGAAAATGCCAACTCGAACGGTGGCGAAACTTTTGCAATCAAGTTGCCCAGGTTACCGAACCCCACAACTGAGACTTCTCAAGTTATGCGAAAACAACCGGCCACTCCCCTTGAACACCAAATTCAAATGGAATAGGGAACGCTCTGCAACTTAGGCATCCAATCGCCAACTCCCGCTTAGTCTCAACCTTGTCACATCACAATGAGTTTCAGATAGCCTGGAAGTATGGGGATCTAAATGGGGAACACTGGTTCACCTTCCTTGACTCACCTTACGTGCTGGTCTGTGCGAACAATGACTTCATTTCTCGGGATCACTTAAAATAATAAACGGTTAACTTGATACGAATAGCTAGCCCCTGAAGATGGCTGGGATGTCGAGCTTTACTAGAAGACCTCTACATGCGATTTACCACACAACATCACGCAACGTTGGACTTGTAGGCAGCAGAAACGGCTTTCGTCCGGTCAAACAGGCTGTGCTCTTACCCGACACTATTTGTACGTCTGGATCTCCGTTTGCCCCATGGATCTATTTGATGAACAATGCACAGTGATTTTTCATGGGATAAAAGCAAGTGTAAGATACGTCCAGTAGGATGGTTGGGGTGAATAAATGAAATCAGAACATATGTGGGTCATCTACTGAACGTTTACCGAGGTGAGTGCTTTGATAAAAAGCGGCAGTGTAAAATAAATAAAAAAATCTGTGTGCAAGCGTGCAGAAATACATGGGGTGCAGTGGTCGTTGATATAAGACGTGAGGAAAGTAAGATATGGTCCTTCACTTTGGATCCATTTGATACATACATCCTGGAGAAAGGCGTGATTGGCGTAATTCACAATAGCGTAATTTAGGTAACAAAGTGCTGGGAGCTAAGAGCAACATCTAATTGTTTTTTGTAAATGTCCAAGTTAGGAGAGGATACAACTGAGTCTGAGAGTGCGTTCCAGAGTTGGCAAACTAGAGGGGAAAATCAACTAGGTCGACACTCAAGACGGTTATATCGTTCCCGCAATTTCAAGCAGCTACCCCTGAGCTACTTGTTCTGACTAAGTTTCAGCAAATGGCAGTATACGTGGTTGAGGACACAAAATATTCGGTACGCTAATATGATTGCCGCGCAGCCTTTGGTAGCGTCCGCTGAAAATTCCCAGCAACTTCAGCCTTCGGTGGTATGAGTGATAGCGCAGGCCCTTCACATTCTTTGTTGCACTTCGTTGTGGTGCCTCTATCGCTTTTAGGTCGTGCTGCAACCAAATTTGCCAAGCTTGGATAGCGTATTCAACATGCGGGCGCACGTAGGAATTGTGCATCATTGTGAAGATTGATGGGTCAAATCTCCCGAACGCCCTTCGCAGCATGCCGACGGGCTGGTTGCCGCTTTTCGCAGCTACCTCAGCCTGTTTTGAACATTTGAAGTCACTGTACGAGCACACCATGGTCACGTTCCTGGGAGCTGGTCTGCAATCCATGTGATCCAAGCGAATACGTGTAGTCAGGTTCACGGCGTAATTGTACGACGCGACATTTGTCTACGTTGAATGGTATGGCATTTTGAACTGACCAGTGCGACACCGTGTTAAGTTCGTACTGGAACCGTTCGTGGTCGTCCGGTCCTTTGATCCTTTGCCATATCTTGATATCATTTACGAGAAATAGGAAATAGGAAGCAACTGATCTTGTTAGATCGTTAATGAACACCAAGAATAGACGAGGTCCAAGCACCGAGCTTTGTGGTACACCACACACCACATCGATTGCATCGGACTGTTTCCCGGAATCACATCCAACCGTCGTCCATGTGGAAAATCGCTTATTCAACTCAGGACTGAGTCGCTAATGCCGCAGTTCCGAAGCTTCTGAAGAAGTATTCGATGGTCTAATCGATCAAATGCTTTAGCGAAGCCCAGGTAGATGACATCGACTCCTGCTCCACCATCGACGGCATCAGTCCAGCCATTATGTGCAATTAATAGGTTAGTATTGCATGAACGATTTTGACGGAAGTCATGTTACTCTGGGGCTATTAATTTGTGGTTTTCCAGTTACTGCATCATCGCATCTGCGATGATTGATTCCATCACTTTGGATAGCACAGGAAGTAGCGTTATTGGACGGTAGTTGGTAGGGTCATTGCGGCCATCACTTTTATAAATAAATAAATAAATAAAGCTTTTATTCTTGACAAGGCCAGGCACACTTTTACAGGCATGATAATTTTGACTTAACAACGCGTGATAAAGAATGTACAAAAATCCGATATGTTTGCGATAACAGTGTATGTTTGTGTAGGGGGATATGTAAATATGTGTGTGTGAGTATGCAGTTTTGCAGCCATGGCGTTCTCCAGCTCAATACTTTTTTCCACAGCACCGAGGGGGAGAATGTCAAAGTTTCGCCGATTCACGGCAGGAATGCAATACGTAGATTTAAGAAAATATTTGTTTACTTTGGTCCGCATTAATGTTTGATCAGTGCCATACTCAACTTCACGCAGTACACCTGTCATGCGAACTTCACGCATATCACGCTGACGTACGATGACATAGTCGAGCAGTGCGTCGCTCGGGGTTCACTCGAGTTCCCGTCCAGTAGTGTGCGCATCTTCTAGCACCCAATGCTTAGTGCTTTGCGCGCAGGCATACGATTGTATAGGTGGGCAATGGCATGCGACGTGGTGGATGTGTTTCGGAGGTTTGCTTGATGGAATCCACCCGGAACCTTTGACTCAATAACCTGACCCAGAATGCAGTGGGTGATTTGGAGATTTGCTTGAGAGACTCCGCCCGGAGCCTTTGGTTCAATAGCCTAACCCACAAAGCAGCGTAGTTTGTGCTTCTAATTGTGCTGCTCCATTCTTGAGTGTTTGCTGTCGTCGGCAATGTGCCAACACATTGGCATGCTGCGGAGGGCAGTTAAGCAGTTTGATTCCTCTGACTGTTCGTAGTTGCTTAACGCCTACGTGCGGCCTCGTGTGGAATGCGCGATCCAGGTGTGGCAGCCCTGGCATGAACAAGACCTTGCAACGCTCGAGACTCCACAGCGACGAGCCACGAAGCAAGTCAAAGGCTTGTTCAGCCCTGTTTATCAGCTTAGACTGAGGACCCCAACATTATACAGCGTCCGGTACCGGCGCCTAAGTGGCGACTTTATTATGACCTACCAGATTCTAAGGAACCCCAACCACGTCGACCGTCACCTACTACAACTGAGCCACAAACGAATTTGAGGGGCCACCAGTTCAAGTTAGTCACGCAATACAGTTGGCTAGAATGTCGACGGAGCTTTTACTCTCTTCGTGTGTATCAGCCTTGGAACATCCTCCCAAATCGCGTTGTTTTGGCTCCCACTTCACCTGTGTTTAAAAAACGCCTTGATGTTGTCCTAACCCACCTAAACTACGAGATATGGCCTGTGTGTCTCGACAGACGATATAATGCGAAGAATGTTGCACAACCAGGATTAACCTACACAACTGTGATTGGCTCTTTCTGCGTGCCTCTTTGTTAACACTGTGGTGAGTCCACCGAAACGATTTTCATTGCATCCCTTTGTTTTCTATTCACTATGTTGTGGTTCTCTTTTTGATCACCCTACGGCACCTGCTAAGACTCCGCCTTTTTGCCTGTAATATACCACTATACTATTGTACATTGAGCCCGTTCTCTGAGCTCACCGGACAAAGCAGTTTATCCTGATGGTCGAGAGTTTAAGCAATCATAGTCTGCTGAATATGATGACGCTCCCTCCGGAGATGTTTTGGAATATATTTGGAGCTGATCAGGAAGTCGTCTTTTCAAAATGATTCCTCTAGAGATGTTCAGTACGGTGACAAAGTAATGAACGATCCGCTGACCTTTTTTCGAAAACTTGACACAAGTGAATGAGTCAAATTTGGTACCGGTTTCCTAAATAGCCGCTCGAGCATTATTTATCTGCCAAAGAGCGACCAGTCTCATTTTGATTGCCTCCAAACTATTGGCAGCCATTCTGCTCCGGAGGCAATCCTCGGTTCGTGAACAACATTATCTTGAAGATCAAGCCGACTTCTGTACTGGTTTTGGATGTGTAGATCAAGCTTTCTACTCCGCTAACTCTATGAACATGGTCACTCCTATGGGATACCTACAACCGCCGCATTTTGTTGATATCTGGACAACATTCTACCAGATTGATCAAGCTGATCCATGGTAGTGCTGGCTAAAGTGCAGAGTCCTAGGAACTTATAATGTCATCCTACGTGAAGTGCACCTCCATGTCTTCAGTAGAATGATTGATGAAGATATCTTTTTTATTGGGCGCTGTCAATAACCGCATATGGCGCGCTTTATATTAAGGTTTCCCTTCAATTTATCAACTGAAGACGTTATGTCGATAGTTTTATTACGGTACCGGGTGTTTGGCTTAAAGCTTCTTTCAGACAAGCGCGTAACCGAATTGGATCTTATTAGTGATATCACTTTGCGCGATGATCACCCGTAGATTATACAAACCATGCTGAGCCGTTTGGAAATCGACACATTCAGATGCCTCCTCAAGGCGTAAATTGATTCTCAAGGATCAGTGCTCATTCATTCCCTTGCACACCCTTAAAGGTACGCAGCTTGAACAAATGGACGGCTGCTTATCTGTTGATAAGTTTTGCTACCGCAAGCACTAACCATAAACCGATTTCCCTCCGCGTTGCCAAAATTTGAACCGCTCTTGCAATTGTGAAACATCTATGGCGATATCAAGACATGTGTCTTCTTAAAGAAAAAATTCCCAGTACCTTCGTTCGTGGGGGTAACTGTGTGAAAGCGAAATTCCGTCGAGTTGCGCAGATGGCATGCGCATGATACCGGTTTTCGTAAAAAAAGTGTATGAGAGGAGCATAATAGGCCAAAGTGTCAACATCGAGCTTACGGTCAAGATGTTAGACGTCACGTGTTGGAGAATGCATTATCCAATGTGGTTCGGTGCTTTCTATGCTCACACGTTCCCCCGGTACTGAGCTGAGAGATACCGCGTGGTGATCACCGTTATTTTCTATTTTGTCACATGAAATCGCTGACCTTATTTTTAGCCACCATTACCTACGCTCTTAGCCATTAGACCATTTATGGCAGCAGGAAGCAGGTGACGTAGACCAGGGGTATCTAAACTTTTCGCAAGGAGGGCGTCATGTTGTGTGGTAAAAAAAGGTTGGGCCATATTCCGTTTTACATTAAGATAATAACAAAAATTACACATATACGAAAAAAGTCCAAGCTGAATTTCTTATCTCATGAGGAGGCCGCGAGCCAGTTGAAATATTAACGCAGGCCACATTTGGCCCTCGGGCCGGACTTAGGACACCCCTAGCGTAGACGTTTGAGTTCCTCCAAATTCAGTGTTCCTAACCACTTTGCCGCGTTCACAAATTGTTTTACTCACTCATTTAAACTATCACGTAGGAGCTATTATTGGTTTCTTTCTAAGGTTACAGTAAGCACACGCTAGAACCAAAACTGTGTATAAGATCTCATGATTTAATTTATGAACAGAATCCACCGTTCAATTTACCAGTGTGAGATCAACCTTTACAAGTAATGGGTGAGCCCATAGTTTGAAGTTAAAGACGCATTCCACAGCAGCTCACTTCTTGTGTACTTAAACTAATCTGCTTTCTGAGTGGAAATAACATCCACGTAACACCAACATCACGATTAATCCACATGATTTATTCTCGGATTTTCAGTGGTCTGGAGTATCACCTTGACTTGTATTCATCTCGTCGGAGCTGACCACAAGGACGTGGGATTTATCAGCGCATTGACAGTAGACCCAGCCGATATCCAGCAAAAAGTTGGTTTTAAACCTCAAATCGCACAAGTCACAGTCGATTCTAGTCCGTTACAACGCCTGGTTTTCTTCTTATTCCTGTTGGTTGCAGGCGTTTTTATACTACTGGTTTGGTTCACTTGCTCCATCTGCTGCCTGTTCGGAAGAGCTAAGTATGTGGTAACGCCCAGTGACCAGGATGACAGCTTAGGTAGTCGAGTGTGTCGGATTGTGTGTCCCGTTTGTTCACTCTGTATGTCACCCGATTGTTAATGTTTTATTGCGCGAGATTATTTGTACTTAAGTTTCCAGTACAAACTGATTGATTGCTGAAATATACACTTTGGCCAAATGTGCTGACTTTTGGTACTGTGTGGATCTTGTCAAGTTATGTGTAGGTATTTAGTGCTCCAAACACTTCAGGGACAATTGTGATATCCTGCGATACTTTTCCAGTGTGTATTATTACGAATCATGGAAGTATCGATACCATAGCTCAACTGCTGTTAGGTTAGTCTTAAAAGCAGTCGGTTATGATGGTGAAGCTTACCCATATTGTTTTGGTAATTATTCCCACATGATGGACTGGGATATCAGCAGATGGTGTAATACCTTTCCGTATTAAGCTACAATCTCACGCATGATATTTGGTGTTCGTATCTTAAGCCACTTCGCATTGTTCAATGTGTTCTTGGCTTATCCAATAAGATAAAACAGCCAGTTGGATCTTCAGGTGCCGGTAGGCAGCCTAGTTTAAGGCAACTTGAGAATGAGCAGTAAGGGAGTAGGAGTCGAAAACAACAAAATATTTCTTCAACATAAAGTTGTACGAGCCATTCAGTCAGGCAGGTAGCTGGTTCCGAAAGCACTGTTGCAAGCACGCAAGGAGCAAAATCCCAGCAAGTTAGGAAAACGCAGAACGAGCCAGGAAACATTCAGTGCCCCGATTTAGCTGAATGTTTCGCACGCATTAGCCTAATACAAGGTGTTGTAGAGTTGCAAAACGTGACACCTCTGATACCACAAAACAGGGTTACTGCAGAGACTAAGCAGCAATAAGTGTTGTGTGTGTGCAAAAATGATCCGTTGCAATGAATGCGAACAGATATCTCAGTGTCATGTGCCTAGTATGTTACTGAAGTTATTATGGTTTGTAATCTTAAAAGTTCCATGTGCATCTTCTGTCTTAAAGGTAACATTTCCAAGTGAAATAAACGCTATTTCAATTGACACACCTTTGCCTACAGGAAATATAATCATTTATTTCAAATGAATAAAATTTCAGAGTCCTGGTAGCGATGAACTCGTGGAATGCATCTCCTTGTGTTATCAAATGTTATCCAAGTGTTTGAAGACGTCGTACTCGGTAGGCGAGATGTCAGGAGGTTATGTTTGTTGATGCAAGTTTCGCAGGCCAGCTCGTTCACCTTTTGCAGTTATTATTGCGACGCGATCAAGGGTTATCGTGGACAAGAATTGGTCGTTTTCTGTTGACCAATGCTGGGCAAGTGTGTTGGAATTTTCGGCGCAATTTGAAAATTTGCTAACAATGCCATTTCAAAACAAGGCGTTTTTGCTGTATTGGTTTCTTTTGGATTCGCAAAGTTGTGCTGGATCAGACTAGCTGCAGACCACCAGGCGATCAGTACAAGCATTTTGTATGTAATTTCGACTTTCGGAAGTGTTGCAGAACTACACCGCGGTCTAGCCGTTGAGCAAAGCATCGCCGATTGTCGTAAAGCCCCTCATTTCGTTATACGTCATAATCTGGTTCTTTATATTGCACAGAATAAGAGAAGACGACGTTAAAAAACGACGATGCCTTTGATTTCCATTAAAATCGTGCGGTACCTACTTATCAATATTTCTGACATTCCGATCTCCTGTACCTGTTTGAAAACTGTCACATGAGACGCTGTTGTATTAGAAGTATGATCTCGAAAATTTGCACGCGGATTCGCTTCCCATTATTGATCGTCATCCACTTTTGATAGTCGCACAAGATGCGCTTCATCTTCAAGGATGTCGTTACCTTTCCGAAACTTTTGTAGACACCTTTGTGCAGTACAGTCATTAGTGGTTCCAGTACCAAATGCACTCTTAATATCACATCTGTTTTTCCTGTTTTCCTACCGGGCTTAAAATGGGTCAAGAAAATGGTATGAATTTAGCCCTTGTTCATGTTGCATTAAATATACTGTGGAAGTGTAAGGACGTGTTCTATGTTAAATTATCACTATTGATAGAGGGAAAAACGCGTCAAACTAATACCGAATGTCATAATAATGTAGCAAAAAGTTCTTTTAAAAATACAGTGGTTTATATCAAAATATCTAACACTGCTCAAATCTTTGGCAACAACCCAATACCCTTGTGTGTGGTGAAGCGTATGTGTTGAGGCATTCGCACACTAGGCCAGATACACAGTACGACTTGAGGCAATTAGACGGTGAAATTGATTGGGCCCCGTTTCGATGCACTCGCTGTGTGGATGGTTGGTGACAAGCAAACTCAGTCGAGACTGTGATCCATCGAGAAGGGAATTTTGTGCATTTCATTCTCCGGGACCGCCGCTGATTCAGATGAATGTTTGGCGATGTCCTCTGTGCTGTGTTTCGAACGGTCAACAATCAGCATACAGACATTGGAATCGCTTTACGGTTTGTTACTTATACAACTTGTAGTAGTGGGTGGACACCACAGAAGGAGATGTGGTAGAGTGCTATCATTAGAGTACATTTTTAACTTAAAAGTTACATCTACAACTTGGTGATATTTACCATTTTCCATGCTGGATGTTTTTATTGAGGCTACGCTCGTCACAGTAGTTGACTCCATCAAGATTCATTGCCCAGATCAGGAGTGACGAATCGATTCGGTTGAACTGTGCAGACGTACGAGATCGTTACTGTATAAGTAGTCGACCAGTTGTGAACTGTTTACCATGTGTGGCGGCGCCGCAGCTTTCTCGTAGCTACTTCAGAATCCAGCAGCCAATGTTGCTAAAATATGTCTGCAGTAATGTAAACCAACATCGATTCATGGCAAAGATTTACCTCTGGATTTGCCTCTGAATTCCGGGGCAGTGTTCTGGTAAAGCGTAGGCTTTGTCGTTGGAGTGAATAAACCCATTCATTGCATTTTCTAATAGATTACTATTCCCCGATTTGTTATCAATACTATTCATTTAATCTTACTTCTAAATGTATGTAATATACAAACTATAATGGACTCCGATTTTTCTATGCATAGATGCAATTGCTAGGTGTGTTTGCTCTTGCGGCTTTCGGTCCCACAATGTTCCTATAAAACCTGCGCTTATATTACTGCTTTGTTGCACGCGGTTGACTATTAGTACAGTTGCGGCGAAGGCGACCAACGCTTTGTTCGATCCCATTTAACGTTGGTCAGGATGGAAAAGAGAACTTTCACGTCACAGAATAGGAACCAAGCTAGAAGTGTGCCTTTACCAGACCAATTATTCAGACACCGGTATTTTCACTGCGCTCTCCTCAGAAGAGAATGCTTATTCCCTCCAACGTGTGACTATTGCTTGTATACGGACGGAGAAGAGAGAAAACGGTGTTAATTTTATTTTTCATTAATAGGCACCATTCAAGTTATGTGAGCCCCAATGATCAAGTCAGCAGTTAGAAACAACTGTTCCGATAGTTCGTACTCAGGTCAGGATATTTCAATCAAATGAGTTCACATAGGGACGAGACTCATCGTTGGCTGCGGTGTTTTGAGTCAATGGTATATATATATATATATATATATATATATATATATACATAGAAGCAAAAGCTATGGAAATTAAATGAAGGTACAGTTGACGAAAAAATTAAACTGAACACAACACGGAATTCTCGTGGCCGATTCATCACATGTCACTACTCATGTTCCATTGCCAAGCTGACACACAGCAACTATACTCTCATTGATTGTGTGAAATCCAGACGGCTAGTGTTGATTCTTTTGTATGTAGAGTCCGTTACCCCTTAATGGTGTACGGATACACAGCCTGCGTTCTTCTGTTGCCCTCTTCATGCATTTTGCGTCGTGAGCCCAAAGAGGCATCTTTCCACTTAGCCTCCATCTCTATGTCAGACTGATTGCGGTATTAGACCAACATCAGCTGTCCGGCTGCGTTGGAAAAGGCCCTTCCAAAACTACTTGGATTTAATCAGCGATTTCCATGCTGCCCGTATTGCGGAAAACGGATTGGAGCTCCTTCGACATTCACTCGGAGATGAGGGGCAGCGACAGTTTGAGGATTTGGGGCTTCAAAGATGTAAATCCGTTAAAGAGGCTTCCAGTGCTCTCGATCACACATGGGACTACCAAATGAATGTGTTTATTGTGAAATACATTTTCTCTCGCATGCATCAGGAAGCAGTTATAAATAAATAAATAAATAAATAAACGTTTTATTCCTCAGCAGTGCGAGGCACAGACCAACTAGGTGGTCTTATCAACATGTACAACGTGATGGCATAATATAGTTAATTATTCGTCTTTTGGTCAATGGTTCCCATATGGGTTTTTGCAATGATTAGCAGTTTGGAAAAATAGAGAGACAAGGAAACTGGGAACAATAATAAATGTAGATTTTGCGGAGAGTTCAAGTAAAGTAATACGGTCATCCATGGAACTGTCCGCAGCGGACTTGCTTCCATGCAGAGTATTTCCACGATGGGTTTCACCCGCACTTCCATGCTCCAATTGGCTCTGTGCCTGTGTGGCAAGATAGTAAATAGGCCATCAGAACTAGGTGTCAAATGTCTTTTTTAGGGCTGTTTTATGCATACATTATTGGCGATGAAACCTCAACCATTTCTGTCATGCGTATCAATCAATTATGGCACTTTTTTGTTTTAAGCCTGCGAGTCAGTAGTAATATGATTTGCATGGGTATACTTTTTAATTTGGAAGCTGTAATCCGTCGCCACAAGAGATCAGCCCAGTCATGACCAACGGTGAAACAAAGAAGAAGATAAAGTATGAGGAATTATAAAACATAATGATGAATCCAAACGCTTGCCGATGCGCCAGTCACAATTTGATGGAAAATCTTGGCGAGTGACGACGATGGTACAGAGACTTCAGCTTGAGACGCGTAGTGCATCTACGAACCAGTGCGTCAAAGGAGAAAACAGAGTTGGTTAGACGGATTGATAGGAGTAAGATCGTTCTCGAGTATATACTCAAGAATGCAACTATATGTAGGTAATCTTATATTATTGAAACGAATAGAGGATATGGTGACTTTC